TTCACTTGCTGATGGAGTGTGATATGAGTGCTGGTCGCTTTCCAGCTCTTAGAAAATCAAAGTGGGCAGTGTGGCAATGGTCCCTTGCCTAGAATAAATGAAGTGCGAAGTGAGTAATGTGTCTTTTCCCTGATTTGTTCAGTGTGTGTGCCGGGAGTGCACATTTATGTGCATGCAGCTGGTGGGTAGGGTGAGTGCGTGCCTGCCATTCAGCATTGATTTTAGTCACTGCAGGTAGGTAGCTTGCAGAGTCAATGGGAGGAAAAAATAGATGTAGTTAGACCCGTAGTCAGTGTGATAGCCCATAAAATGTCTTGGCAACCCTTAGCGGCGTCACAGATCATGTAGGAGGTGACATCAGCAGGATGGATCCCAGGCTGGGAGCCCTGGTGTCTGGTTCTGGCTTTGCCATTAGTCCTGGGGCTGTTAATGACCTCTTGGAGGTATCACTGCCTCTTCTTCAAAAAGAGAACGGTCCATGGAAGACCACCAAATACCCTCATAGCACTAACATTTCATGTTCATGGAAATGCTTTCCAAGACGACCGTGTGGTTTGGCACCTGACTCCATCTCCCTCTTCAATGCGCCGGGAGTGCAAGACTTGCTAAAAGGATAGTAATCACTTTTATAGACCACATTAAAACAGGTATTCATTAATAAAGTTGACTTTGACTCAACAGCCCAGGTTGGTATGGATTTTCAGTACCCCAACTCGCCCATCTAGGCATTGCATTTCCAAAGGAAAATGAAAAGTTCTGCATGCTAAACACTCCATTTCCCAATGCTCTGAAGCAACTGAATGTCGTTCTGTTCAAATTCAAGATAATGAACTGGACCTCCGTGTTGAAGTCCTTCCACGGCCATGATTAGGACAAAAGGAATATACAAAGTTGGGGTGGGACGGAGGTATGTCATGGAAGGAGCCATCCAAATGCTAGAAACATCACATACGTTCTAGAGACGATAGTGCATGTGGATTTAGGTTCTAAAAGGCTCATCTACCTGTAAGTTACCACATGGGAAGGAGCTTCTTCTCCAGAGAGGGAGAAGTGGGTCTCCTCCCTTTCCCTACCAGCTGAAACTCCTCGACACTCCCAAGCTCTGGTTGAAGAAAGCAGAGGGAAGGAAAGGCCGTTCAGCGGGTGATTTACAACCTCCCTTGGACATTGGAGACACCTGAAAATTTTTAAAACTCCTGAGGCCCAGGTCCCACCACCAGAGCTTCTGATTTAATTGGCCCGAGGCTAATGAAAGCTCACTAAAAGCAGTGAGCTTTTTAGTCTGCTGCCATGTTGAGAGCCACGATGACGGGAAGACAGCGGGGCCATCTCAGCCCCACTGGGGAACTTCACTGATAAAGAGCCCGCAAGTGAAGGAGTGCCTGGCTTCCACTCCCACCCGGGTGTGGACAGAGTGCTGGCAAGGTCAGGAGCGGGGCTGGCACTGAAGGAGGGCCTCCCCGTCCGTCAGAGAGACAAACGGGTCCCACGCAGGGATTTGCTGCCCAGGAGGGGCTTCTTCTTTGACCAACCAGAGAAATACCCAAATTTATATTCTCTTTATGGGGACATGAAAGATTTGGTGAGGAAGGAACATAATCTTTAGCAGAACTTGTTTCGACTCTCAAAAGTAGAGAGAGACAAAGAAAGAAGGATGTTTCATAATCACAGAAAAAGGCAGTAAGAACAGAAAGCGTAAAATAGGATGGCAGAGGTGAGATGACATACACGGATATTTCAGTCCTGTGTGGGGATTCGGCTCGTCTTAAAGGACGTGGACCGTGCACCTGGCATGGTCCAGCCCTGGGAAACTGCTTCGCATCTTTGCAGACCTCGCTCTGCTGGCGTGACGAGAGAAACTGGGCCGTGACGAGTTGGCTGTGGGTAGTGTGGGGGCCTCCCCAGTCTCCTTCTGGATGGCCTGTTCTGCCTTCTGGTGGTCGCCTCTGCCCGTGGGGTGGTTGCTGGGTAGACAGGGTGTGTGGTCTTTGTGGGGTGGGGCTTGGCTTCCTCCCATCTTCCCTGGGACAGTCATGTCTGCTCTGAACTCACCAGTGGTCCATGCCCTTGACCTCTCTGGGTCGGGCATCACCTCCCCTGGCCGGGGTAGCCTCTCTGCTCCTCATCCTCCTGCCTCAGCTCGGAATCATGAGAATCACTGAGGCCACACGTCCCTGTGAGAGGCTGTGGTGACCTGGACGGGGATGACCCCCTCTCCTTCTCAGGCACTCTTAGGTCACTATCATAAACTGTCGGAGAAAGCATTCTACATGCAGAAATCCATAAGCCAAGATAATTGGGGGCAAGTTTTTTCAAATCTTCAAGCTCGAAGATTTTAGAAAATAGAAAAAAAGGTCTATTTTATAAAAGCTGACATGCTCTGATACCAAAGCCTGACCAGAATATAAAATGGGAGTGATTTCACTTTTAAATACAGATGCAAAATTCTTAAACAGTAACAAACCCAGTCTAGCTCTAGGATAAAAGTATCACCCACGAGTAAGTGGTTCCTCTAGGGCCTGCGGTGGTCATCACTCATTAAAAATATTCTAGGGCTGCCTGGGTGGCTCAGGCAGTTAAGCAGCTGACTCTGGATCTCGGCTCAGGTGCTGATCTCAGCGTCCTGGGATCAAGCCCCATGTCAGCTCCATGCTAGGGAGGGAGTCTGCTTGAGGACACTCTCTCTCTTTCTGCCTCTCCCCCTGCCTATGCAAATAAATAAATACATCTACGGAAAGAATATTCTAAAACTAATCTTAATATTAAAAAAATATGATCCAGTTAGCATCAAAATGAGATTTTTTTTTTTTTTTAAGTAATCTCTGTGCCCAATGTGGGGCTTAAACTCACTGCCTGAAATCAAGAGTTATATGTTGTACCAATTGAGCTAGCCAGGTGCCCCCAAAATGAGATTTTTATGGGGGGAAACTCAGTACAATGATACTGAAGTTTATGGAGTGGAGTGATTTCATGAGAACAGGAAATGAAGAACTTACCTTATTTTTTTTTTTTAAGATTTTATTTATTTGAGAGAGAGAGAATGAGAGACAGAGCATGAGAGGGAAGAGGGCAGAGGGAGAAGCAGACCCCCTGCTGAGCAGGGAGCCCGATGTGGGACTCGATCCCGGGACTCCAGGATGATGACCTGAGCTGAAGGCAGTTGCTTAACCAACTGAGCCACCCAGGCGCCCACCTCATTAATTATTAACACTTACTTTTAAGCTACAGTATTTAAAATGATACATCGTTACAGTTACCTAAATGCGTCAGTGGAAAAAATAGAAAATCCTGAAATACACCCAAGTGCACATGATCATTAAATATATGATGAAGATAAAAGTAGTATTTGAAGTCAGTGGAGGAAGAATGAATGGGTCCTTTGATAAGTTGTCTTGAGAGAACTGCTTCAGCATCGTCAAAATCAATAATGCCTCTGTTTGCCAAAACTCAATGGAATTAAGAGTAAAAATTTTCACATGAAAAAATTAAATCATTTCTGGGATGCATTCAACTGAATGCATATAAATACATACATGCATATAAATACATATATACATATAAATACATATATATATGTATGTATGTATGTGGAGGAGAAAATAGGGATGGAAAGGTGGATGAGTTTGTGCTGATTAAGATTTCTGTATGTGTTCTCTATGTGCACCAGAAATCCCCTTCCCTGCCCTATCCCCAGGACATGCTCCAAAAACAAATGGAAGAAAACATGATAAATATAAAAAATATTTTTGACATTTTCTAAGGGGCTCCTAAAACTTTTAAGACAAAAAACAATAGACAAATAAGTTGACAGTAAAAGTTGAAAGTCTTGGAAAAATTTATGTCCTATGAATAGTAAATCCCCTTCTGAGGTTTACCTTCAGGTATTGATTGTGCATGTTTGTAAATAAACATGCATTGGGATGTTTTTCAAAGAGTTCTCTAGGAAAGCCTAAAGAGAACAAAAGAAAAAGAAGAAAAGAGTGAGAGGGAGAGAGAGAGAAGGGAAGGAAGGACCTTATCTATCCAGCGATATAGGAAGTGGGTTAAAGAAATTATGTCATACTGAGAGAGTTGACGGCTGGTCAGCAATTAAAAGTATTCTGGAAAGAGATTCACAATTATATGTATAGGAATGTTCTTTGATGAAAAGAATGTATTTATGTAAATACATACACAGATGTGTTCATCAAGATACCTGGAAGCTTGTCCACCAAAATGTTAGTTTAACATTGGTTGTCTCTGGGTTAGTGGGTTACAGCTGACTTTTCTCAGTTTTGCATACTTTTCTCCTCCCTTCCCTCCCTCCCTCCTTCCCCCTCTCCTTCCTTCCTCCTTCCTTCCTGCCCTCCTCCATCCCTTTCTTACTATTGCCAGGTTTTAGTTTTGAAATTAAAAAATAACTATTTGAAAAATGTTATTCTGAGAACGCCTGGCTTCATACAGTGAGCCCAGCATGTCAGGCTGGGCCGTGAATAGCTGGCCCATCCTCTCCCGTGTCACACCTGCCTCATTCCAGCTCCTGGTCACCAGCTCCGGGAGGACGTCCCGACCACCCAGGCCATTCCTGCTTCTTCCTGCTCTGAGCTTCTGAGCTTTAAGTGATTCCCCACCTCATCTGTGCCCTTTAAATGTCGCACACGCATTGTCCGGTGTCCACAAAGAAACCATCAGCTCCCTGAGGGCAGGGGTTGGGCCTTGGAATTCTGTGTCCCCCTCGGGCTCCGGGCTTTCAGGGAGGTGGGCTGGGCCTGACTCCTCTGGAAGGAAGGGAGTACCAAAGGGAAAAACCAAAAGCCGTGGGCCCGGGGGGTCAGTGAGGGCATCCTCTGGCTGGGGGCGCTGGGACAGACACGGCGAGCCCAGCCCCTGGGAGCGGGGCCGAGCCCGCCTTGTGGGGAGGAAGGCGGGGACCTGCTGTTCATGACCTCTCCGCTCCCTGCTCCTCCAAGGATAATGTGTCATGTTAACCCGTACTTTTTGTCTCCATATGATGTGGACAGGTTCTAACGTTCCCAAGGACCAGCCCTGCTGTCGTGGTCTCTATGATTTTGAGCCAGAAAACCAAGGAGAACTAGGATTTAAAGAAGGGGACATCATTACATTAACCAATCAAATAGATGAAAACTGGTATGAAGGGTTGCTACACGGGGAATCTGGATTCTTCCCCATTAATTATGTTGAAGTGATCGTGCCTTTACCTCAGTAAATGTGTAACTCACACTTTGGACATACTTTCATAACTGAAATGAATTCACACCAGTGTTCTCTCAGTGTGTCTGTGACATCCTTGTTCTTGGACCAACTTAATGACTTTTGTTTGTGCTTTCTCTTTGTAATGTATTTTGTATCTGTTTCATTTGTATAAATGATTTTCCCGTCTTAGCTACATGAAACTATAGTTTTCTTTTTTTTTTGCTTATTGTCCTAAAAGTCATCGGTCAAATAAATGAATGTGCTTCTTGTTGCTAAAAATAAATTGCAGTTATGTCCATGAATTGCCCGTTTATATCCCTCAGCTGCAACGGAATGCAAAATCTGAAACTTAAGAAATGCTAAATATTTTGTTTCCTGACATTACTGATGTCATCTGGTCTTTCCTTATGTTTTAGCTGACTGTGAATCGCCCAATAAATATGACACACCGTACCATGTTGGCGAAAAGCCTTGGTTATTCTTAATGTTGAGTGGACTTCTAAGCGCCAGTGTGGATGCGTGGATGCTTCTTCCTGAGTCAGCAGGTCTGAGAGTGGGCCTTCACTGTCCCCCGATTCGAACACAGCACGCCCTCCTTCCAAGTCAGGGATAGAAGACTCTTCCATGCACTGCCAGGTTTATTTAAAGAGAGCGTAACACAACCTTCTGCTGCTGCCCAATGTTGGGTAGGTATTTCACGCAGGTCCTGTTGGCATGCTCAGGAGGGAGCAGGATCAGGAGTCAGGTTGAGTGCACGGTAACGAGACCGCTTGGGTTCAGAGAGCCAGCCCCTGGCCTCGCTCAGAGTATGCACTCATCGTGCACTTGGATCCAGGGGTGCCACAGCCCTCACAGGGGCGGGTATCCTCATCGGACGGCTTGCCCAGGATCCAAGAGCCGGTGGTGTGAGAGGCAGAGTTTGAACCGCACCCCACTGCCCACTGAGGTGCCCACTGAGGTCACCCGGCTGGACCTTGCTTTTCACTGACATTAGTAACAAATGCCCAGCGGCCAGGTTGGTTTAAGGTGACCAAAACCAGACTTCTCAGTCTTCTGGGTCCTTGGTACATCAGTAAAATCACAACAACATCCTGGACATTTTTCCTCCTTTCTTTTCTCACCAGCTCCCTTCCCCGACATCTTCTCTAAAGCAGTTGTATATATAGCGTCCATAATAAAATAATAATAATGACTAACATTTATTGAGTGCTTACTGCGTGCCAGGTGCTACTGTAAGCATTTAAATGAATAAACTCAATCCTCATAACAACCCATTTTGCAGATAAGAGAACTGAGATGCAGCAAGGCTGAGTAATCTGTCCACAGTCACACGGTCACGAAATGCCAGAGCTGGGCTCCTGACCTAGGTAGTCTCCCTCCCATGTCTGTGTTCACCTCTCTCCCACGCTACCTCCCATCCTATGTGTTTGCCCCCACATACTCACAAAGTAGCTTTTTATACCCCATCAGCTTTCCGTCTCCAGCTGCCATATTTGAAATTTATCGAAGAGAAGTCCAGAGCCATTCTTAATGCCTGTAATATGCTTCCATATCTTGTTTGGGAAATAAACTAATTGCAGTTAACTGAGTTAATAAACAGTACTTGAAGTAACTGCAGCTAACTGTAACTGCAGTTATAGATGGGGGGGCGGTCTTGTGAGGTTTCAGTAAATGGCTCCCCTCTTTCCCTTGTGAGTTCGAAATAAACTGACATTAGTCAAGGGTTAAAACAGGTAAGAGCCAGTATGTAACCTGCATCATAAAAGGCTGTATCAGAATATGTAGCTTAGGATGAGAGCAGAAGCATCTGCTAACAGAGCCCCAAAGGGATCAGACCTACTCACCTAGTCCAGTCTGGGAGGGGTGGACTGTCATCACCCGCTATCTTAGAGGGACAGAGCCTTTAACCATGGCTGCCAACGGTCAAGAATGCACATTCCCTGCATGCAGGCCAGCTTCCAAGGAGGGGCTATGGTACTTGGACCCGGTTCTAACCCAGACTCACAAGCACGGTAACTCAACTAGCTAGGATTATTTGGAGAAAATCGCTCCTCATAGAAACTGGGAGAATGGGGAAAAGGTATTTCTATCTGGGGAATGAAGATGAGCATAGTTCAAAGAAGACTCACGTTATCAGAAGGCCAGTCAGACCTATATAAAAGGGAAAATGGAGTATTTATAAGAAATACCCTTTATAACAGTTTTTAAAATGAGTTTATAACCATACAATGAGGCAAGGAAAAAAAATGGCCTAAAGATTGAAAAGCAAGAAATAAAGCTGTCTTTTTCTGCAGAAAACAAGATTGAATATGTAAAAAATTCTTAATCTACAAAAAAATGTAGAACAATACATATATATTTATATGTTAACATATATAGTAGTATGTATAATATTATGTATACTGCAAATTTATTAAGATCATGAGATAGCATACAAAAATCATTATGTTTTTATATACTGGAAGCAATTATTAAATGTTAGATTTAATAATAAAAAATGTCATAAGAGCAGCAGAAAGTACAAAATACTTAGAAAGTATTTGAACAAAAGATATGCAAAACCTTGACACTGAGAACTACACAACTTTGCATATAAAAATCGAAGAGCTAATAAATGGACAGAGATAGTAATATTGTTAAAATGTCTGTTCTCAGGGAACCTGGGTGGCTTGGTCGGTTAAGCATCTGACTCTGGGTTTCAGCTCAGGTCATGATCTCAGGGTCATGGGTTTGAGCCCCACATCAGGTTCTGTGCTGGGCATGGAGTCTGGGATTCTCTCTCTCCCTCTCTCTCTGCCCCTCCGCTTCTCACGCTCTCTCTCTCTCTCAAATAAATAAATCTTAAAAAAAAGAAGAAGACATAGGAAAATGTCTTCATAACCTGAAAGTGGGCATAAATTCCTAGGACAGAAAAAAGCACTAACCCCCACAAACAAAACTGATAAATTAGACTTCATTAAAATAAAAAATTTCTGGGGTGCCTGGGTGGCTCAATCAGTTAAATGTCTGACTCTTGATCTTGGCTCTGGTCTTAATCTCATGGTCATGAGTTCAAGCCCTGCCTTGGGCTCCACACCGGGCATGGAGCCTACTTAAAAAAAAAATTTAAAAATTTCTGCTCATCTAAGAACACCATTTAAAAAAGTAATAAAAAGACAAACCACAGATGAAAGTATTCACAATACATCTCTGGAAGAAAATAGTCAAAATACATATTATCTCTGACTATAGACTTATATTCAGACTATGTAAAGAATTCTCACAAGTCAATAATAAGCAGTTAAAAATGGCCCAAAGAACACCAGTCAGAATGGCTAAAATTAACAAGTCAGGAAATGACAGATGTTGGCGGGGATGCGGAGAAAGGGGAACCCTCCTACACTGTTGGTGGGACTGCAAGCTGGTGCAGCCACTCTGGAAAACAGTATGGAGGTTCCTCAAAAAGTTGAAAAAAGAGCTACCATATGACCCAGCAATTGCACTACTGGGTATTTACCCCAAAGATACAAATGTAGGGATCCAAAGGGGTACCTGCACTGCAATGTTTATAGCAGCAATGTCCACAATAGCCAAACTGTGGAAAGAGCCCAGATGTCCATCGACAGATGAATGGATAAAGAAGATGTGGTATATATATACAATGGAATATTATGCAGCCATCAAAAGGAATGAGATCTTGCCATTTGCAATGACGTGGATGGAACTGGAGGGTATTATGCTGAGTGAAATAAGTCAAACAGAGAAAGACATGTATCATATGATCTCACTGATATGAGGAATTCTTAATTGTAGGAAACAAACTGAGGGTTGCTGGAGTGGGAGGTGGGGTGGGAGGGATGGGGTGACTGAGTGATAGACATTGGGGAGGGTATGTGCTCTGGTAAGCGCTGTGAATTGTGCAAGACTGTTGAATCTCAGATCCGTACCTCTGAAACATATAATGCAATATATGTTAAGAAAAAAAAAAAGAAGAAGAAGAAGGTAGCGGGAGGGGAAGAATAAAGCGGGGGAAATCGGAGGGGTAGACGAACCATGAGAGACGATGGACTCTGAAAAACAAACAGGGTTCTAGAGGGGAGGGGGGTGGGAGGATGGGTTAGCCTGGTGGTGGGTATTGAGGAGGGCACGTTCTGCATGGAGCACTGGGTGTTGTGCACAAACAATGAATCATGGAACGCTACATCTAAAACTAATGATGTAATGTATGGGGATTAACATAAGAATAAAAAAAAATGGCCCAAAGATTTGAAGAGACACTTCACAAAAGAGGGCATATAAGTACCCAATAAGCACATGAAAAGGTACTCAACATCATTAGTCATTATCAGGGACTGGCCCTTGGCTGGTACCAAAGAGACTTAGAATTATAGTGTACTGAATAAGGTATATTCTCAGAGACATTAGCAAATGTGGGGTCTAGGGCTAAGACATTTACAACCTAATTTGTAGCAAATAGGTTCTAGTGATCATTACTGAAAAAGAAACAGTAGTTTAGGGCGCCTGGGTGGCTCAGTTGGTTAAGCGACTGCCTTCGGCTCAGGTCATGATCCTGGAGTCCCGGGATCGAGTCCCGGATCGGGCTCCCTGCTCGGCAGGGAGTCTGCTTCTCCCTCTGACCCTCCTCCCTCTCGTGCTCTCTGTATCTCATTCTCTCTGTCTCAAATTAATAAATAAAAAATAAAATCTTAAAAAAAAAAAAAAAGAAAGAAACAGTAGTTTAGAGCTGCATACCTACAGGAAAATAGGCAATGGGCGTGGACGGTTGTGTCCCGAGGCTTCTAAATATCTGCCCAAGGTTACAGCATCCATAGACATAAGAACGAAGCCATCAAAGATACGCTGAGTGATAGAGTAGTCCAGAATATTGAAATCCACATCATTGGAGCAAGATCAGAAATTGATTAGACATATATTTAGGATGTTAAGAGAGGTGGGGTTGAAGGGAAATGGGGGGAAGAGGCACAACTGGATTAGTTTACAGTGTCCTACATGGAAGTTCACTTCTGCTCGAGAAGGAGGATGGTAGGTCAGGATGGGTCCAAGGTAAGTGGATTAGGGCTCCAGGGACGTCTTGTGAATTTGAGAGCGCCAGCTTGGCCTCAGTCCCATGTGTTCATGAAAACACTGGGTCTGAGCTGAGGGACACCAGTTGCCGTGGGCGTCACTGCCAATGGCCGGACGCCAGCTTTGACCTCACCTCATGTTGGATATACCTTTGATCTCTCAAAAAACCCTGTAATACACTGTTGGCCTAACCAAAACGTCCTGGAGAGAGCAAATGCCTGGGTATTTGCCTCTTGTCATTCCTTGGTCTATAGGAAAAGTCCGTTCTGCTATAGAAGGGTAGGCACTTAGAAATCAGTACTTGATTTAAGGAGCTGATTACTGGTGTCTGGCCCTGCCACATATCCCCCCAGCTGCCTCCAGGGGGCAGTCTTACGGGGGCAGGTCAG